GCTTTATTTTGCACAACAGTTGGCCGAATATGATTGGTAAAGCAAAACCATGTTTATTCAAAATGTCATTCAGAGCCGCCTATTAGAGCTAATAGGAAAAACCTATAGATTTAAGCATCCCAGCAAGTCAAGTCGTCAAGCAGAGATTTTTTTCAGAACATAAAACATACCGTCTGGTTTTCTTAACTGACAAACTGAAGAAAAATGTTCAAAAGGCTTAGTGTAAATACTTTAATGAATGGTACATTTGTCGTTAAAAATATCTCACATTTTTCTCAGGCAAATGAGACTACCGATATTGATGAAATCTGCAGTTTCATTTGTGTTTATTGGTATTCATTACTGTTGCTTATTTTTTTATTTTGTTATTTATTTTGTTTTCTTTCTATATTACTTTTAATTTTTGGAGGCATTTTCATTTTGAAGGATCTCGCTTAATAGCAGAAATTTCTTTAAAAAAAAAGAACGGAATACAGACAATATACTAGTAATTGATGGGAAACAGACATAAAATAGCTATTATTTTGCTGTGGCAAAGTGTAACATAGATTTATACAGTGTTTAATCCATGGCAAAACTAGTGGTGACAACAGGGGGTGTCCCTTCCTCCGTCCCTTTGTCTTCCTATATCATTCTACATATAATCTAAAAGATTTATATTTTTGATAACATTGAAAAATTCGTTCACATCAGATTCCACTGAAAGTTTTCAAAAAGTTTCTGTAGCAGATCTGATAAGAGTGTCGTCCTTTTTAGAGCTAATGGATTATTGTATAAAATTCAAAAGAAAGGCGTTGTTTTTTTTTTTTTTTTGGGGGGGGGGGGAATGTGTATATATTACATGTTGATAAAAGCAATATGATTTTAATTGTAAGTACCGAGAAAAATCACCTGGTGACACTTTACGTGAAATGTGTCAAATTTAACCAGATGTTGACATCACGATAACAGGCTGCATTTTAAATGTTTCTGATTTTAATATTAATACACTTTCCATACGATTAAAAAAATGAAAATAGAACGTGTTCTGAAAAGGGTTTTATCGCTTCATCACACTGATTCGCATTTCTGAAGGGAATCATTCTATTAACGGTGAATTTCAGATAATCAGCAGACAATATCGCTTTCCTTATATACATGTACCCTGAAAAAATAATTATGAAATAAGTAACTTTATCACCTAGGTTTTGCATTTTTTCATTATTATTCTCATAAGTCTGGGGAAAAATCGTTTATAAAATTTACTAACTTTGAACTGTCTCCATTAAGATGATTAAGCGGTCCCGACCCTCTGCTATATATTTCACTAAGAAAATTTAAAAGTTCTAAATTTTCTCTCAGATATATTGTGCAATGCAACGCAAAAAATCAAATAAATGACCATATTGAATTCTTTTAAAACTGCCACTACATAATTTCTAGATATTGATATAACTTTACATGATAATAAAATCTAGACATAACTGGGAAAATCTTGATAATATGACACGTTTGATCCGTGTCAAAAAGAGGGTTCTCAAGATATTGAGTGCTCAAAATGAATATAGTACGGGTCTGTTTATTACTACAGTGTATCTCCAACTATTTTTGTCATTTTGTTAATGACCTTTCTCATTGTTAAGTATTGGTACTTAACCATATTTTGAACATTTGTAATGCAATTCCATTCTGTATGATATTATCAATAAAGAAGTACACTGTGTCAATGCTTTCATGCCGCACTTCGCTCTTGAGGACAAATGGATGTTCATAAAATAAAATTCCTTAATGGAGCATAAAAGACAGCAAACTCTAAACTTTTGGAAATGGTAATTATATAAATCTGAATCCAAAAATATACAAAAATAAGAATTATTTATGTATTTCCTTATTACAGTATGCTAGTTTTAAAAATTGTTTATTTAGTGTAAAACTTCTGATTCAAAGACATTTCTAAGTTGTGTGTAATGATGAGCACATTTTTTCTCTGATCCTACCTTAATATATAAATAAAATGTATACATTCTCGGCACAGTTATTTGTTTTGTGTGGTTCTACTCTTTATTGTTTTCTTAAGGCAATATCTACAGATGGTACAATTTACCGTATCAATCGAAAAACAAACTGCATTTATTCAAATATGTTGAGTGTGGGGGGTGGGGGGTCGTTTGCTATATTGTGGATTTGCCAATACACAGAATGCCTTCTATCATTAAACCGGGTCGAAGGACATTAATCATTGTAAGGAAAGAACACTCTATCCAGTTTGCCATCAAGCAAGTTTCAAGTCAATGATTTTTTAAATGAAAAAATCGTTTGGAACATTTATTTTGTACAGCATGAACCAAATTTCAAACCATATAATTTATATGAAAATTTTAAAATGCTATAATTCAGACAAAAGTCAATGAAGCGGAATGCAAACTTGATCTGAAACTCCCCAAGATACACTTACTACCAAAAATCAGCCAATTCAGTTCAAGAGTTAAAAGAGTGCGAAAAACCAAGTGAGACAGACTAACAGACAGACATACAGACAGAGCAAAAGACGGACAGACGGACAAGACGAACAGACTCAGCGGAAACCTATAGTAGTCCCCTCCAGTGTAACTATTAAATGAATCAAAGTAGCAAATGACTTAGGTATATGTAGTGTCCCATACAAAGTTATTATCGGATTTAACCACATGTAAAACAAACTAATCAGCCATAGTTTTATTACATTATCATCAACTTCCGGTTGAGTACAAGGGAGGCAAATCACAATTAAATAAATGAGAGTTATCTTTCTTAGATCACGAAATATAATGTTTACTATAATAATCATACACTACAATCCTCCCCCTTTTCATTTAAACAAATATCAATTATTTCAATTAAATTGTAAATGGACAAATCTATTTAGCAATTAACTTTAACACAGTCAATGAATCATTACAGTGTTTATAAATCATTGAAAATTTATATTTGAACAAAGGTTACATAGAACATGTTATTTCATTATATAGTCCTTGAATTTCACCGGCAAAGAGCGTTGACGAATTGGTCGGCTTAATTGCGGTGAACTTGTCGTCAGATCTTGAACATTGCTGTCGGAATCCTCTGCTAATGAGTTTCCTGATGACGATGCCTGGACATCATCTGAAATCGCACTTTTGTCGCTCGCAATTTGATTTGGAACTGAATTTCCTGAACACAAATCTTCATTTCCATTGGAATTTTCACTTAACACATTTTCATTCACATTTTCACTTGACACATTCACAGATTCCTTAGAATTCACAAACTTTTTCAAATGAGACACATTTCTTTTGTAATGAACTCCCTCCATGGATTCTAACACAACACTATTTCCATTTTTCTCGACAACTTTGAATGGATCACTATGAAATGACGTAGATAACTTGTTTTCCTTGTTCTTCTTCATCAAAGCAAGATCACACCACGGTTTTATGTCACGAAGTGTAGCTCCTCTCTTAGCATCAGAATAAATTTTCCCTTTTGCCTTCTCTGCATCTCTATCTCTAACTCTGTAATCCGTCTCATGATATGTGTAGATTTCTGGTAGTTTTGTACGAATGACTCGACGGAACAACTCGGCCGGACTCACTCCTGTTGTGGTATGTGGTGATGAGCGATACATCAGCAAATAAGTCTGAAGTTCCGATTTCCAGTCTTTCTTCTCTGCTTGTGCAATCTTCAGTCTCTTCAATATTGATCTGTTCTGACGTTCAATTTCTCCATTGGCCTGTGGCCACAATGGGGTGGTTTTCCTATGAACTATTCCATTTATTTCACAGTATGTTTTGAAATATTCACTGACGAATTGTGGTCCGTTGTCTGTTGTAATAGAAACAGGTAATCCATGTGTACTGAATATCTTTGTCAACACTTCGACCATTTTCTCCGCCGTTGTAGATCTCATCACAGCCAGATCAATCCATCGTGAATAATAATCAACGATAGTAAAAATGTAGTCTCCGGATGGTAGCGGTCCTAGGAAATCAGCTGCTAAATGTTCCCATGGTCGTGATGGTAGTTCTGTTCTGTGCATAGGTTCCACTTTTTCAGGTTGTGATACTAACTGGCATCCATAACAAGCTTTGTTCCACTGTTCAATGTCTTGGTCCATTTTAGGCCACCAAACCTTGGATCGCAATCGCTGCTTCATGATAACAATTCCAGGATGTCCCTCATGACCTAGTGCCAGTACTTGGTCGCGTAATGACTTAGGTATGACAATCCTTGTCCCTCGTAGTATCAGATGTCCCACAGTACACAATTCTGATTTTACTGTCAAATAATCTTTGTTCTGTAACTGATACCATTTCCCTGTTATCAAGCATTCTCTCAAGTTCTTGAGATCCTCATCCTCCAATGATGCTCTCTCAAGCTCAGATACGGTCATTGCCATTGGAACAGCTTCCTCAATAACAAAGCGTAAGTATTCCTCTGTATCACTCGTCTTCGGATTTGGTGTATCTGTTGACAACATCCTTGACAACGAATCAGCTATGTTTGATTTACCCGGAATATGACGAACTGTGTAACTGTAGTTCTGCATCCTTAACAACCATCTCTCTACACGTGCACATGGTTTCGATTTTGGCGAGAAAATGAACTCAAGTGGCTTATGGTCTGTTAACAGCTCAAAAGTCTTCCCCATCAGGTACATGTGAAACCGCTCACACGCCCACACTAAGCTGAGTGCTTCCTTCTCGGTTTGTGCGTATCTGCGTTCGACGTCCGTTAGGGATCTGCTCGCATAGGAGATAATCTTAGGTTTCCCTTGTTGTTCCTGGACTAAAACAGCACCTAAGCCGACTGGACTTGCATCTGCAATTACTTGTGTTTTGGCATTCACATCAAAGTAGGCTAAAGTTGACACATTAGCTAAACAGTCTTTAAGTTTGTCAAACGCTTCATTTTGTTCTCGTCCCCATGCAAATGACTGGTCTTTACGCAAAAGTCTGTTTAAGGGTTCTGCTACAGTGGACAGGTTTGGTATGAATCTGACCGCGAAATTGACTAGTCCCAAGAAGCTGCGCACCTCAGATACTGACTGTGGTGTCCTGGCACTCCTAATAGCCTGGACTTTGCTGTCTGCTATTCCGATACCATGTTCAGAGAGTACGTATCCCATGAAATCGATCTTCTCCATATTGAATTGACACTTCTCAATGTTCAAAGTCATTCCTGAGTCTTCTAAACGTTTCAACACTGATTCTAGGTTACGTCGATGCTCTTGTTCTGTTGATCCATGGACCACAACATCATCGTATATTGCATTCACACCAGGTAAGTCTCCTAATGTCTGTTGAATGATTTTGTTATACATTTCAGGAGCACAGCTCACTCCAAACAATAAACGTTTGTATCGATAAAGTCCTCTTGGTGTCATAAAGGTAGTTATTTCTCTAGAGTCTGGGGTAAGCTCTAACTGATGATAGGCCCACTTGATATCTAGTTTACTGTAAACTTTGCTCTGATTCAAGTCCTGCAAGATTTCGTCGACAGTAGGAATTTGATATCTCTCACGAACGACTGCCTCGTTAGCTCTTCGCATGTCGACACATATGCGAATATCTGAATTCTTCTTTGGTACAACCACAATAGGTGATACCCACTGACTTGGCCCTTTGACTCTCTCGACAACATCCATCTTCTCAAGTTCATCCAGTTTCTGGTCTAGCTTACTGCGTAAATGGTACGGTACTCTACGTACGGACTGAATTACAGGATGTACGGACACATCAATTGGAATTTTAAGTTGGAAGTCTCTCAGTTTTCCAAGTCCTGTGAACACTTTTGGAAATTTCCCTAGTATCTCTGTTTTAATATCTGTGCTATTCACATTGTGTACTGGTGCAACAGTACTTGTCTCTTGAATCTGTAGTACTCCAAGCTGGGTAGAAGTATCATAGCCTAGGAGAGCTTGTCCACTTTCTTCTACAACAAAGAACTCGGCTGACACACCCCGGTCTCGCGTACACACATCAGCAACAAAACTTCCTGCGACAGTCAGTGGTTTGTTACTACCATAGGGATAGAGTTTCTTTGTCGATGCTTTCGACTGTCTGTGACATTTCACTTTTTGTTCCTTGAGTTGTTCCCATAAGTGTCTGTCAATAACATTCACTGAAGCTCCTGAGTCGATGATCACTTTTGAATCAATACCGCCAATACTAACACTAAAGTCATTCTTTGAACGATCCTGGTTCCGAATAGTAAACACATAAGTTCTCTCAGACTCCTGACCTTGTTCTACTTCTGAAGTTTCAATATTTCGGACTGCTGCCCTCTTGGTTTTGTGCCACTTTGTCTTTGACTTGGTCTTGCAGCATGCTTCATAATGTCCTTCCATGTGACATTTCCGACACTTCTGTGTGATTCTACTCTTTATTGTTTTCTTAAAGGCAATATCTACAGATGGTACAATTTACCGTATCAATCGAAAAACAAACTGCATTTATTCAAATATGTTGAGTGTGGGGGGTGGGGGGTCGTTTGCTATATTGTGGATTTGCCAATACACAGAATGCCTTCTATCATTAAACCGGGTCGAAGGACATTAATCATTGTAAGGAAAGAACACTCTATCCAGTTTGCCATCAAGCAAGTTTCAAGTCAATGATTTTTTAAATGAAAAAATCGTTTGGAACATTTATTTTGTACAGCATGAACCAAATTTCAAACCATATAATTTATATGAAAATTTTAAAATGCTATAATTCAGACAAAAGTCAATGAAGCGGAATGCAAACTTGATCTGAAACTCCCCAAGATACACTTACTACCAAAAATCAGCCAATTCAGTTCAAGAGTTAAAAGAGTGCGAAAAACCAAGTGAGACAGACTAACAGACAGACATACAGACAGAGCAAAAGACGGACAGACGGACAAGACGAACAGACTCAGCGGAAACCTATAGTAGTCCCCTCCAGTGTAACTATTAAATGAATCAAAGTAGCAAATGACTTAGGTATACTGTAATTGATTGATGCTAAGGCGTAACCTATGTTTAGCAAATGAATGGAGAGATTTTTATACACTTATTTGCTTGCTATGAGTACAATAGCAAGTTGTCAAGACTGTAACTTTTTCACGAGGCAAAGCCAAGGGAAATAGTTGCTGTCGAGGGGTACGATGAAGTTGCTATTGTCCGAATAGGAAAAATGTGTTTTAATATACCGAAGTAATTTTTCTGCAACGGTTAAAACAGGAACAGTTCCGAGGTGAAAAGCGAGGGAATAGTTTGATGATTTTTCGCCATGGGCAAATAGCACAAGAACTATTCCATGGTAGGGATAGGGGCTGTTTAGAAAAAAATAACATGTTTATTCGTAGTATTTTTATATAGAAACAATTCAAAGAATAAAATAATTATGTATTATGCAATATTCATATACCCGATGTCATCACAAACATTTTGAACTGTTACATACATAATCACATTTCCTAACCATATTAGTATAAATTGGAACATTTCGGAGAAAAAAGTAATAAAATATGGACAAAATCTGTAAACATCCGAAAAGCTTCATCGCAAAACCTAGTTTGAGACCAACACGCGAGAGATGAAAATCAAGAGAGATATTCAACTTGAAAAAAGAGTTAATTTTTGTTTAAGATAATATTTATTTAAAGTCGGGTACATCAAACAAAGAACATTAGCTCTGAAGAGCTATTTTCCGACTACATAATAATCTTACATAAAATACAACAATCATATATAATAAACAAGAAACTGCTTTTAAAATTTTACATCACACTACTGAAATATCAGTATCACTCCGTGGTGCTAAACAATGATATAGTATTCATCACATTTAGACCAACAAACTGAAAATAAATTAAACCCTGTTTACCGGTTTCTAAAAATAAAAGTAGCGACAAGCACAGCAATTTCAACAATTTCCGTACCAACTTTGTGTTTTCTTGTTTAAAACAAGTTTTGCGACTTACATTGTTTTAAATTGCAAAAAGTTGAAAATATGAATGTTTCTTTACCTGAAAAGTGAAAATATGTATAAGTTTCTAATTCTGTTACGTGCAACTGTACATGAAAGTGTCAAAACAGCACCTCTCGATTTTTTTTCGATAACCAAAAGCACAAATTGGCTAAATATTCAAGGGGAAGTTTGTTGAATACTGTTATTGCATATCTTAAGTTTAGGAGAAAATGCGTATGTGTTATTATAGATGTAGTCAGTTCCTCACCTTGAATGACTTTTCAATGTAATCAAAAATATAAATCTATTAGAATAACATACCAAGACAAAGAAACAGAGGGAGACATCCCCGCAACCAATATGATTAAAATGATTATGACAAAGTCCATGTAAAACCCCCTCCTGTTACCTGTATTGTTGCCATTCATTGGTGGATCCAGGATTCTTAAAGGGGAGGGGATTTTGGGATCAGGGAAGAGAGCCAACAGCCACACCTAAAAATTGATTTAATAAATCTTAAGTATATTTTGGAAACAAAAAGGGGGCGGGCCCCTCTAAATCCACCAGTGTCTAAATTCTACATATTGTGCATATTATTATAAATCTTACACTACGAGGGCTGTTTAATAAATAATGTCCTGAGCTCTATGACATTATAGAAATCTTATGACATTAAGCTTGAGTTTCTCTCATGATTGAATCTTTAATGAATAGATTACAGTTTAATTGACCTCTTTTCATCACAAAGTTTAATTGTGAGAAGCTGAAAATCACGGGCTATTCGAGACACTGCATTCAATATGAATGGTAAAGAATTAGTAGACAAGAGTGAAATTAAACGCTTTATGAAAGCTGCCGTAAAACTAGATAAGAATCTAAAAGAAATATTCTATAAACAATGTGAAATTTACAGCAACTAATGTATGTTTTATAGACACAGGTGAGTTTCAATCAACAAAAATGATATAATGGGCATCAAAAATGGGCACCGTCCTTGGCGACAAATTCTTAAAAAACCAATGTAATGTTTGCGAAAATTCAACAAATAATCACTGATGATGGTGGATTGAATTTAAGAAACATAGCAAAATTGATAGGCATCATTTGGGGTGTGGATGGGGGGTGTTAGTTTACAATGTTTTAAAGAAACATTTGAAAGTAAAAAAGCTTAGTACTCAATGGTCACCCTATTTTTTGAAAAATGAGTGAAAACAACAGCGTGTAAGAATATCTCAACAGTTATTTTTAAAAATCAAAAATTGAAATTATCCACTTTGTCTGAACTTCAAACAGATCGTGAAACTTGATTTCATTGCTTTAAACCCTCAAAACAATTTTACAACAAGATCCTTTGGACAAAAACAGTCAAGGTCTAACAAAAGCAAAGAGTTCAAAAGCACAAAAATAGTTTTATATGTCATTTTCTTATATATCAGTAGTCTTGTTTTTAAAATTCGTATTCGGGGAGCCAGTTCAATTTCTGGAATAGTCTAGAAAGCAAAACTTTTCAAAAAACAAAATCGAAAGGTTTATGAGAGGATGGGAAAAGAGTAAGGAATCCACTACATTTAATTTCGTCATGACAGCGTCCAAACCCACAGGCCATGAAGAGTAAAGTAGTTTGGGGGATAAAGAGACAGTTAATGTTTTGTCAAACCAACAATAATCGCCAGGCCTGGGGATCAGTTTTTGATCTCAGTCTCACTTTTACCAAAGGAATATATAGTGAAAAAGTGAGACTGAGATCAAAAGTGAGCTCGTCTAAGTTTTATGGCCCCCAGGCCAGATCTGTCTTCCTTTCACTTGTTTCATTTTCCAAACCTGAAAAAACACCCTTCAGAAAGAAGAAACAGGTCAAGGAAATCATAGGATCTGCCACATTCCAGTATACGAAGGGCAATACTCAAAAAATTGTTTTAAAAACAATCAGATATTGGATTAAAATGTCACGAACATGTGTTTCAATTAAAAGAGAATATTTAAGTAAAATCATTTAGGCTAAATCCTTGAAAAGCGTTTTTCGTTGCTTTCCGAGAACCAAGGAAATTATTTATTGAACAGCTCTCGTATGCCATAGTAAGCACTATTTTCATGCTTGTGTCCCATCAATTCTATTTTCTGTATTCCTTTCTTTAAAAAGAAATCTCTGTTATTATGTGATCCCTCTCAAATGTTATTGCTCCCATTACATATTTTAAGTACATGTACACATGTATTTTAAAATAGATTATCAGTAAAAGAAAGAAACACAATGTTAAATTTTCAATGGCATTTATTACGATTGATAATCTTGTTAAAATGGTACTTAAAACTGTATCGGCTTAAACATAACGACAAATAATTAAAATGCATTATGTACAATTCATGTGCTTAGTTTTGTTTATTAAAAGCTGTTTAATATTTACGGAGGTTGTGAAGGATATCTAAATATTGCTTCAAAATTTTCTTAATATGTAAACAACGTAATCTTTATTATAACACATGTCCTGTAATTTGCTCCGTTGGGTTTATGACCCTGAATATTGATAAGGAAGGGAGGTGTGATAATTATATAAGAAAACCAGAGAAAGTAGTAACAGGACCGTCGTAATAGCCTGAACCAGAGAAATGTCTGATCCACACCGCGTCTCCCTTCTGAATAGTCAGCACCACCATATTGGGACCTGCGTCATAATAATCAGAACCACTGCCACCGTTGGCCAATGTTCTGACTTTTGTAGATCCATTCAAGACAATGTCAACATAAATAGTATTTGCATGATAACTCTGAACATTCACAAAGAAGACATACATCCCGGCTGTAGGAGCAGTAAACATTCCATTGCTCGGATTGTATCCATTCCCTTCATTACTGATGACGGAGGGAAATACCAGGGTCCCGCTGTTCCATGAAGAGCTGCTGGAGGACACTGTGGCAGAAAAGGCTACTTTCTTTGATTTACCTACAAATACAATACGTTTGTTTTTTTTCATTTATGATCTCTCCAAAATAAGAGGCGTGTTTGGTCGTCTGACCGGGACAGCATGGCGTTGCGGATAATACAACACTTCCCAATTTCAATCCAATTTTAAATGATAAATGTATTTGTCATTCTGATACTTTGGAGGTCGATGTTTGCTCTGCTCCTATTTTGTATTGTTTTATGGACTATGATATTGAATATTGTTTGTTATCTCCATATCCTTCCTTCATTCCAATTAAAGAATAGAAGAACTAAGGACATGTTGAAAAAAAAAACAAAAAAAAGGGAAAAAACCGGGAACCCTTAATTTATTTTCCATTGATAAAAGAAAAACTACATTTCTGGGGCATTTAAATTGATACCGTTGCTATTCCTACCTTTTGATGCACGCTCTTCGAGTTCTTATATTTTGTCTGTACATGTAGAAAATGTCAATAAAGGCAAATTTCAGGACATAAAACTCGTACAATTAAAATTACTGATCGGCGAAGACCATTTAATATGAATTTCATTGTACAACGGCACTGGAAAGAGTTGAACAATAAAAAAACAATTGACAAGCAGAGCAAAATGTTCTAAACCTTTGTTTTTATGAGAAATCGCTAAACACTGTTCATTTAAGAGTTCTAATTCCAGAGTATATAACTTATCCACAGTGGAAATAGAGATTATTGAGGTTTCATGACAAATTGCTTCATTTGCTAAAAAGTTATAACTGATGTTGCTTGTGAGATGTTAACGTTTCCTTATATACAAATGCCCAAAACAAGCTTATTTTCAAACTATTTCCAAGTATCTTTGAAATACCCCGGTATTCACAAATTAAACATAACACATAATACACACATCTTGTACACAATACACTTCTTTTAATTCTCCTATTCAAAGATTCTAAAATTATAGGACACTGTTTAATATATTTTTACTCATTATGGCAAATAATTGATCAAGATTTTGATAAATTTACTTGTTTTATGGCTTTTTACATCCCCAATTTTTTTTTCATCCATAATAAGATGTCGCCAGTCAAGGTGCCTCAAATCTATAAATACATCTCTATCTCATGCTGGTAATATTTATAACATATTTAGTTATAGAGATTATGCATATCAAATAATCTGTTTTTATAAAAACACACATCGTAATCAAATCTAACATATCTTCGGGTCGATTTGGACTGATTTGTTTTATGTTCTTTAAATTGTCAGACTTTTGTTCTTATACTGAATCTGACTGCGTTATTTTCCGTCTACGTGATCAATATGTAGGGCTCACAGCGGGTGTAACCGCTTAACAAGGGGTGTTCAATACTCTTAAATCTGTATATAACACTTCCAAAATATGCTGAAACACAGTTTCTTTGAAGTCTCATCTGAATAGTAGTTAATATTTCTGTAAGGACTAAGAATAGGGGCTTGATAGAGCATTTGCCGAATCCTGCGAAGCATTTTATTTTCTAATTACTCTTTTACACAAGAAAACAATACCAAACTAGAGGTACTGTGAGCAATGAGCTCACTAAATGATACCCCCGCCTCCCATAATGTCCATGTTTTTCTATACATTGTTTTACGATAATGTGTAAAGAGGAATAACTCGTCCCATCAAATGTTATCTAGAAGCTTCTATTTGAGTCATAGGTAAACATATAATGGCAATGTCCATGTTTTGCTATGGAAAACCTTAAATACGTGTCGAATAAAAAAGTAAAATAGGAGGTGCACAATGGCAATATGTAATAAAGATTCTGTGAAAGTTTCATTAAATTTCACTCAGTAGTATAAGAGGAGCTGCTCATAAGAGATAAAGCGTAACAGACGGACGGACAGACGGACGGACGGACGTATCCCATCACTATATACCCTCCCACTTTTCAAGCGGGGGGTATAATAAAAACTGAAATCAAAATGCATATCTGGTGTCGTCGAAGTCAAGCGCGCAAAGGTGTTTTGTTATTACCAGAAAAATCCAAATGTGACGTATAAAAAGAATCCTATTAAGCACCATCTCATTACTTTAATCATAATGACAGTAACTAACGGATAATCAAAACAATGATGGATTCCTTTTGAACGTAGCGGCCATTTCTGTAATATTAATTGCCCGTAGAATTTGCTGCCATGTCAATATTCCACTTATATCCGAGGGTTCCTAGCAAAGTGGAAAGTGTAGACAATGTGGTTGTATAGGTTATATCTTGTTCCGTTGTAAATATAAACACTTGACATTAATTGACAATTTTTCCGGTGTTTGAATCATAACAACAAAATCTTCCTGATAAATATCGTACATCTTGATTTTTGTGGAGAAAAAATACCTCATACTTAGTTTTATATTTTCTGCGATATATACACTCTGAAACTAGTAAACCGGAACAACTAACAAAATTACGACGTTTTACAACTAAAACCTTGTTCATTTTGGTAAAGAAAACATTTTTTTTTAATTGTTCCTATGCTCGTCTTAATTACATTTCTCTAGGATAAAGAAAAGCTTGTAAGCTTTTAAAAAAACCCAGTTGATTTCACAAAGAATGAATCAGCATTTTTTTCCAGGTTACAGAGTACACTTACCACTAACGAAACTTGAAACATTCGACAATGATGCCTGCAAAGAAGCAACCAACGAAGATAAGTTTCCTTCTTTTGCCTTGGTCCTCTGTAACTCAGAATCAAGTCGTTGGTTTTCTGATTTGAGATCCTCTACTTCTGCTTCCAACTGAGAAATTCTAGATCCCGTGGATTCCTTTAATGTTAACACGTCTTTCATCAGGGACTGAACAGTATTTACTAAACTCATTCTTATAAGACTTTCTTGGTTAAGAAAGTGACGGAAAGTATCTGATTCTTTAGAATCACCATCAGTCACGAACGTTCTGGACAAGCTTCCATTTGTTTGATCCGACAGCAATGAGAGAGCAATTAAAAAACGACTCATGCTACAAAATATCCATATTCTAAGTATGCATATCATATTTTTAGACTTCTGTGTGATATCCTAAATAAATGTAGTCAGCAAACAAGGCAACGCAAGGGCTTAATGTATATCATTTAGGTTCTACTTGAGTTTACTGCGCAACATATGGCTACATATATGATTGGATATCTGTAAAAAAAAAAAAAAATCCTGTCCAATGGTGACAGAGCTTACTATATACATTTTTGTGATTCGATCTTGTATTAGATTTTGCATACGAGGGGTTATCAAAAAGTTCGTGGACTGGGGCTATAAAATTAATACTATGTTGTCTGAGCTTGCCGCTTTACAAAATTTATGAGGAACATAAAACAACCAAAAAATAAAGAAATGTTGAAAATTTTAGCTTGATACGTTCGTTATTTCCCAAATCATTATAAAATAAAGACGACATTATATGATCACCCGGCACCGTCGCCGCTTAGTCTTACGACGTCCGACAACGTCATTATTTCTTCAATGTCCGCTTCTTCTACCTCGTACACTTATTTTGATGTGATTCCCTAGAGCTGAATAAGGACTTCAATCCGTCTTTTTTTTTATGACTTAACAATATCATGAACAGCAGCTTTCAGTGCATATATTATTGCAAATATACATTGGGAGAGATCCTCGCTTGATTGTGACAGCATAATTTTTTTAGCTCAATATAGCTATAAAACACATGATCAACGTCATTATTTTACGTGATAGATTTTTCAAACCTTGATTACAAATCGACATTAACTTTGCATCCCTGTTCTTTATGAATCTTTTTTGGCAAATAAAAACATATACTGAGTAATCTGGATGCAAATTTTTTTCTCCGTAGCCAGTTAAAAACTTTTCTAGGTGTATACCAGTTTTTTCAGGGACAAAACGTTATAGAATATTGGAAAATGAAACCCCTCCCCCTTTTGACGTCATTTTCTTTTTTTTGGATACTCCATGTAAAATTTACAATAAAATTTCAAATAACTTCCAGAATGAGGTAAAAATTTTATATTTTATGGAACAATAGTGTCCCAACACATACCTGAACTAGTCCTAATTGTAACGGGGACCGTTACAGATGTTTCCCAAACGCTCCCCAACTCCCCTTTGTGCCTAATTCCTGTAAGACATTTTTAAAATATGATCAGTATCGACGGATTTCATCAAAGAATTATAAAAGCTACAATGATATCAACTATATGTCATTTAATGCATTGTACGCGCAAGCACGTGCATGCACATGCAAGATGATCATGGCATGTTGTCTAAACCATTAACATATCTATATTTTGTAAGAATCAATAAAAAAAATGTTTAAGATATACATGCTACTGTTTTTTAAGTATATTGGTCATTTTGCGTATTTTGCGCGCGCACGTGCATGCATGCATGTTCGGACATTTAATTTTGATAGTACCATAATGTAGGAATCAATTATACCTAATCATACTCTAAATTTCATCCCGTTTTGTTGAAAACTAAGAAAGTTATAGGCATTCAAAGTTTCAGCCAATCAGATTGCAACACACATGCATGCGCATGCTTTCATGCTAATTCTTATATATCATGCTGTAGATCTTCATAATGTATAAGCATGTTGAAAATTTCAAAGGATTCTGTCGAAAAACTAGAAAGATATTAAGACTTTAGTTTCAACCAATCAGAGAGAAGCGCACGTGCATGCGCGTGAGATCTTGCGTTTTTGACCATGTCATCTTGTCTATATTACTTATATATCCTTATATTATGGGTTTCAAAACATTTCATCGAAAAATAGAAAAGTTACGGCTGTATCCATATATTAGTCATTTCACGTGTTGCAAGCACGTGCGCGCAAAATGACCTTCGTTCCGCAAATCTACATAACATGCCTAGTGACCCTAAAAAGGTTTCACCTTGATCAAATGTGTAGTTTACGAGATCATTCGCGGAAAGGATTTTCCCAGGAATAATAATAATAATAATAATAATAATAACTAGAGCAAAGCTCGTTGCAAAGCAACGAGTAGGTCTTCCGTCCTGTTTGACCGGAAGTAGCATTAATTCTTAACAAAAATGAGAAATAACGCCTAAAAATGGTTTGAATCCTTTAACGCTATGTTAATTAATGCAAAAATAAGCAATTTTTTGCTACTTCCGGTTTGACCGGAAGTGACAACAACGGACGAAAAAATTATTTTTTTGCTTCTAGAGACATTTGTTACCAAAAAACCTGTCAAGAACGGCAAAAATACGCGTTTTTCGACTACTTCCGGTTTGGCCAGAAGTGACGACGCCGGACGTTTTCCGACGACTTCAATAGATTAAGCTTGTCATTTTGAACAACTTTGCTTCTTTGACGTATTACAAATTCTCAATACGTTTTGAGATATAAAGAAAAAACTGTTGGCCCCTCTAGGCCCTTAAATTTAGGGGTCAGCCCTTTTTTCGAGATATCATTTGAAAGATCTTTGAATTCTGTACTTCTTTTGTTCTATACGTTTTCACAAAATATTTTCAGGTAAAAAGATATCGAAGAAAAGGTGTGAGAAATTTTGAAATTTGTGATAGGTCTATTTTCGGGCCATAGCGAGCGCCGACGAGCGTCACTTCCGGTAAATTTGATATACCTGATGCACCTCTCCAGACATAGCTCTACCTAGCCTCAAAGTTTGAAGTTTCTATCTAGAGCCGTTTTTCGGGAAAATTGTGGACAAAATGACCCTTAAAAAGCAGAAAATCGACGATATCTCTAGACCGGAAGTGACGTCATCGAAACGGAAAAAAACGCATAAGGTTCAAGTGATGTTCCATACGTCCTGAAAGTTTCATAAGATTTTGTTGAGCCGTTTTCGAGAAATCGCGTGCACAAAATCGGTAAGAAAAAAAAAAATAATAATAAAAGTGAAAAAGAAACCGAAGAAAAACAATAAGGTCTTCCGCTGAAGACGGAAGACCTTAATAATAATAACTAGAGCAAAGCTCGTTGCAAAGCAACGAGTAGGTCTTCCGTCCTGTTTGACCGGAAGTAGCTTTCATTTTTAACAAAAATGAGAAATAACGCCTAGAAATGGTTAGACTCCTCTAAAGCTATGTTAATTAATGCAAAAATAAGCTATTTTTGGCTACTTCCGGTTTAACCGGAAGTGACGACGACGGACGAAAAATTAATTTTTATGCTCCCAGAGACATATGTTACCCAAACACTTGTCGAGGAATGCAAAAATACGCGTTTTCCGACTACTTCCGGTTTGACCGGAAGTGACGACGCCGGACGTATTTTGACGAACCTGATAGATTGAGCTTGACATTTTGAACAACTTTGCTTCTTTGACGTATTACAAATTCTCAAAACGTTTTGAGATATAAAGAAAAAACTTTCGGCCCTTCTAGGCCCTTAATTTTAGGGGCCAGCCCTTTTTACGAGATATCAATCGAAAGATCTTGAAATTCTACACTTCTTTTGTTCTATATGTTTTAACAAAATATTTCCATGTAAAAAGCTATCGTAGAAAAGGTGTTAAAAATTTTGAAATTCGCGATACGTCTATTTTCGGGCCATAGCGAGCGCCGACGTGCGGCACTTCCGATAAAAATGAAATACATTCCGCAAATCTACAGACATAGGTCTACCATACCTGAAAGTATCATGTGTCTATCTAAAGCCGTTTAGGAGAAATCGTGCGGACAAACTGACCCTTAAAAAATCATTAAAGTGCTGATAACTCCGGACCGGAAGTGACGTCATCAAAACAGAAAAAAAACGCATAAGGTTCAAGCGATGTTACATAAGTCCTGAAAGTTCCATGGAAATTCATCGAGCCGTTTTCGAGAAATCGCGTGCACAAAATCGGTAAGAAAAAAAACAATAATAACTAGAGCAAAGCTCGTTGCAAAGCAACGAGTAGGTCTTCCGTCCTGTTTGACCGGAAGTTTATGCTACTTCCTGTGTGACCGGAAGTGTTGACGACGGACATAAAATTAATTTTTATGCTCTCAGTGACAGATGTTACCCAAAAACTTTTCAAGAACGGTAAAAATACGCGTTTTTCGACTACTTCCGGTTTGGCCGGAAATGACGTCGACGGACGTATTTTGACGACTCCATTAGATTAAGCTTGACATTTTGAACAACTTTGCTTCATGGACGCATTACAAATTCTCAATACTTTTTGAGATATAAAGGAAAAACTTTCGGCCCCTGTAGACCCCTAATTTTAGGGGCCAGCCCTTTTTCCGAGATATCATTTGGAAGAACTTAAAATTCTACACTTCTTTTGTTCTATATCTTTAAACATAATATTTCCAGGTAAAAAGATATCGTAGAAAAAGTGCTAAAAATTTTGAAATTCGCGATAGGCCTATTTTTGGGCCATACCGAGCACCGACGTGCAGCACTTCCGGTAAAAATAAAATACATTTCACAAATCTACAGACATAGGTCTACTAGACCTGAAAGTATCACGTGTCTATCTAAAGTCATTTAGGAGAAATCGTGCGGACAAACTGACCCTTAAAAAATCAATTTTGTGCTGATAACTCCGGACCGGAAGTGACGTCATCAAAACAGAAAAAACCGCATAAGGTTCAAGTGATGTTACATAAGTCCTGAAAGTTTCATGGAAATCCATCGAGCCGTTTTCGAGAAATCGCGTGCAAAAAATCGGTAAGAAAAAAAAAACAATAATAACTAGAGCAAAGCTCGTTGCAAAGCAACGAGTAGGTCTTCCGTCCGGTTTTGACCGGAAGTGCCGAAAGTGACATTAAAAAAAAGAAAGCAATGAGCTAAGTAGTCTCCAGTGAATTAATAATTTCAATTTTGCATCAAAAACTTTCAAAATAAGCTATTTTTGGCTACTTCCGATTTGACCGGAAGTGACGCCGACGGACGGAATATTAATTTTTACGCTCCCAGAGACAAATGTTATCCAAAAACTTGTCAAGAACGGCAAAAATACGCGTTTTCCGACTACTTCCGGTTTGGCCGGAAGTGACGACGCCGGACGTATTTTGACGACTCCCATAGATAAAGCTGGACATTTTAAACAACTTTGCTTCTTTGATGTATTACA